AATGTTGTAAAGCGTTTTATTTACTTGTATTCATCACAGAATTGTTTAACTAAAGTATAAATACAATCATCCTGTTTTAAAAAAGGCTCTATCATATCTTGCGACCCCCCTTCAGTGGCTGCTTCTGTGTCCTAGCTATTTCTTTCTTTCTTTCTTTCTCTCTTTCTCTCTCTCTCTCTCTCTCTCTCTCTCTCTCTCTCTCTCTCTTCTTTTTTTCTTTTCAACATCCTCCAGTCTTGCAACATTCACCTCCCACTTTCTTCTGTTTCTTCATTGTTCTCTCTTTTCATATTTCTATAGTACATTCTTGTTCCTTCAACATTCTAAGTCTTGTGTTAAGGCATACAATTCACATGTTTGGGCTGACCACATTAATGGCAGTCTCTCTGCTTAATGCATGCAATTCACAAGTGTGTGCCCACCCACTTAAAACAACTTTCCTGCTTCTTCCTTCTATTATCCATTCCTTCACTTCCCTTCCACCACTTTGGTCTAACTTCTTTTTTTCCCCCACAATTACATCTGCTATCTACATGAGCCAACTCATTCCCTTTATTATTAATCAATCCTCTTACTGTTCTCTTCTCCAAAAGTATTCAAGACTCCATAAGCATACTTGGAGTCAGTGTATATATTCTCCTTCTCCCTTATTAACAACCTCAGAGCCTTCCATAAGGCATAACCACAGTTTTTTTTTCTGACTAAGGGAGGGAAATTCATCCAGCCTCCAGTCACATTTTCTCCTCCCCATCTACTATCGCATCTTCATTATGTCTCTCTTTTTCTTTTCTTTTTCCCAACTACTTTGCTATGAACAAGTGTATACCTCCTTTTGGCTTTCTCATTTAAAATTGCCCACACTTGATAAGAAATGCTAACCACCAAGATGTTCCCAAATGTCAAGTTTAGGCAAAAATGCCACTGGCTGCCTCTTTTCCCCCACTTCTGAGTCAAAACCTCCTCCAAGCCATTCCTTTGCCCATATTTACAAACAAATTACCTAGTGAAGAGCCAACAAAAGAACAGTCACCAAACTCTGTTTGTATTTGTTAACATAAACTCTTTTTCTAACAGTTTTGCATACAAATCTTTAGTCAAAACAACATAGCTATTTATAATCCCAAAATTTTTCTCAACTTCTTCATTTTAACTTCACAAAAAAATAAACAAACTTAATAAGATATTCTGAGTTACTGAAATAGATTTATATCAAACTCTAGTATTGGTTTTAATATAAAGTTAGTCAAATTCCAATTTAATCAAATTCCATTCAGATGGAAACAAATGTCCATTAAGTAGTTTAAACGTTTACAAATCTAAGCAAAACAATTCAGAGTCATTTCTTTTGGTTGATGGATATATAGGTCTAACTAAACAATTTAAACTCAACAATTTCTCCCCCACCCCAAAAGAAATTGTCCAACAATTACTGTCTCCTCTTTTGAGTAAAAAAATTACAAGCTGAAACTGCGAGAGCAGGCACCAAACTTCACATCCACCCCACTACTCCCAAAGCGGAATTTCAAGCAGAGGGGAAAAAAGTTAAAATGAACAGCCCCCCCCCCTTCTTTCTGTCTCTCTCGCTCTTAAAGCAATACAACCAGCGGAAAAACAAAAGAGACAGGGGAAAAAAGAAAAAGAAATTTTACAAAAATCTCACCACTAAAAAAATAATTTTCTCTCCTTCACATGCATTTGCCATAAATTCTCTCACACATCCTCCATGGAACTCTTCTCATGCAAACACTTGCTATTGCTTTTCAATTTACTTTTAGAACAATAAAATCTGCAGTTTACAATTTCTTTCACAGCCTGGGAGGGAGTGGGTGGGGGATGGGGTTTGAGGGCTAACACACACACTTAGATATCAGCAAATTAACTCAGTCACTTCCATGCTAACTGCTTGCATAAACAATTCCACAAACAAATATTTCATTTCATACTTTCTCCAGGCAAACTATTTATTTTTAAATAAGGTCTTTTTGTGTGTTGTTATCAGAGAGGGTTTTGACCCTTGTCCAAGTCTTGGAAATAACACAAAACAACAGAAACATATATACACAAATACTATTAAAACAACATTTATTTAGACATATGGCTTGTCCTACAAGAAGTGAGAAAAATCAGGTGATTCCAACCAAACATGTGGTTTTTATAGGGCTCTTTAACCATCTTCTATTTTTCTCACCATTCCAATCCCAAGCGTAATGTTCTGGGTGTTTATATATATAAAAAACACACACATCAATTTCGGGTTTGAGGCTAAAACAGGTCTCCCCTTTTAATTAAAAAGGAGGGGAACATTTATGGTTACTTCCAATTTATCCCAGCAACTTCAAAAGACAGTGGAGAAAGACTAAAAGGAATATTGAAGGTGTGAAGGGGAAAGGGAAAGTAGCAGCCTCCTCTCTTCACCTTTGACAAAGGTGAATTGAATAGTCCAAAGAGCCAGATTAAAAGGAAAAAAAAGAGAAAGAAAAAAACTTGCTTTAGTTCTTTGAATTTTCTTTTCTTCCGTGGCTTTAGTTGTTATCAGATAAACTAGCCAACTGGAGGTTTACAAAGTTTTTCAACATTGCCTTGTTGAAGATTATTTGTACTGCTACACATCAACACAAAGCACTACCAGACATTGTCTGACAGGGTTAAATGTAACAGCTACTTGAAGTTTCAAAACATCCCAATTGTTCAAAACATATTGCAGAGGAGTACATTTTGATTTAATTTATTTCTTTAAATTACTCTGACGATTCCCCATATTTTTTTCTTTTTTTCTTTTTCAAGACAGTTTCTCGGCTTCCTTCCTGTTCACTTAATTAATTTGTAATTTTGTAATTAATTTTTCCTTTGGAGGACTAGTCAGGGAGATCAGCCACCTATCTTATTCCAAAATTCCCAAAACCTCTACAAAAAAAAATTACATACCAATTCAATTATTTTTCTTAAATCACTCTATCCTGTATTACAAGACAGTTGCTTGGCTTCCTCTTTTCTTACATTTATTGATTTATTTTTATGCTTATCTATAGAGGACTATAGAAATCAACCTCCTGCCTTATTCCAGGATTTCCAAAGGTGACTGTTGCAATTTCTCCTATCAGTAGAGAAGCATGAAACCTCATTGAATTCAGACATTCAGGTTCCTCAGACACGGACCCCACCAGTGACGATGAAGCACAGAATCTTCCAGGTCAAACACTTAGGAGCGCTCTAAGACTCATGATTCAGTCGTCGCTGGTTTCATCCTGCTGAGAATTGAAGGCTCGCTGGGACCTTAACAGGGGTCTCCAGATGTGGGGGGAGAGCCATTGTGGCTACCTCCACGTTAGGCGCCAGGTTGTAAGGTTTTCTACTTAGCCTCACAATTGCCCCAGCATTACTCAGGAATTTAAAAGAGCCAAAGAAACTCCTGAGTCGAGGTTTCAGCAAGCAAACAACTTTTATTTTGATCAAAATAGAGTTGGGTGACCCCCATCTCTCTTCATGGCTGGTAGAGAGATGAAGGCAACAACCAGAAAAGATGTCTTCTACCTTTTATACCTTTCCAGAACAAAAAGATCGTCTTGGTACTAGGCATAAGATGGCACCCAAAAATAATTCCTAGATGATGACTCATACACAGCAACCCAGGCTCCATCCATAACTCCTTTCCCCCACCTCTTACCTTGCTTTTTTCATATAAGCAATCACCTATACCTAAAGCATAAAACGTTTGCTTCTATATAACTAATTTCCCAATCTAAGCATCTACAAAGCTGCTTGCACGTAAACAAAGATATATATATGTGTGTGTGTGTGTGTGTGTGTATGTGTATGTATGTGTGTGTATATATATACACACACACACACAAAATATCACTACTAATATCAATATTACTAATATCAACCTTAAGCATAATAAAATCCCTTCAAGCATAATAAAATCCCTTCAATATTTTGTAGGAAAGCTAATGAAATGGTTGTTAAAAATGCTAGTGCTGTGGTGTATCAAATGCAAAGCCTATTTAATTAAAATGAGGTTTAATTTTTTTTTTGTACTTTTTTACCCTATTTGCATGGACTAATAGGTTTGAAGCATCTCTTTTCTGGTTAAGAAACACTTTTACTTGTTTTTTGCTTTGCTAATGGATTAATCTGGACTGAAGTGGTGTCAGTCTTTTTTACTTCTGATTTTATGAGAGCTGCCTCTCACAATTATTCAGCTGTGACAGAATCATGGTATGATTTTTTAAATATGATTTTTAAGTTTAAAATTTTGAATACTAATATTGCCTAATATAGTAAAAACTCTAACACTTATATTATGGACTCAGATGCTTCATTTCCTTCATGCATAGATTTCCAGAAATCAAGTTATGCTATTCTTTTGTAATAACCTTAATGACTGTTTTTTTGAATGTATTTATAATTGTTTGATGTTTATTTAAGTTGTAAGGTTTTTTTCTAGTTTTTATTAACCCTGTATTCAGCTCTGGGAAGGAGGGGGGAGAGTGATGGGGGGAAGGGGGTGGGTGGGAGAGGGGGATTATTTTATTGTAAAACTGTAAAAATTTTCAATAAAAAAATAACCTTAATGATTTAGGTTCGCTTTGTATTATTGTATACAGTTTCATGTATCCTAGTTCATGCATTATAATTTCATGTTTCATTTACAATTGGACATGCTTTCATGTATCATGCTTCAAATTCATGCAGTTATTAGTATATTTAAAAATTAAGATATTTTTGAGTCTTTTGATTAATTGAAAAAATATTGATAGAGTAAATAGTGGTGCAATGATTAGAATGCAATATTGCATGCTTAAGGTTGACTCAGCCTTCCATCCTTCCAAGGTCAGTAAAATGAGGACTCAGATTGTTGGGGGCAATATGCTGATTCTGTAAATCACTTAGAGAGTGCTGTAAAACATTATGAAGTGATATATAAGTCTTAAGTGCTAATGCTATTCCTATAAAGGTGGAGAAAAAGAATAAGTGAAGTTTTTTTTTGTTTTTAACAGACAGCAATCAGCTGAAGACCTTGCAAGAGTACCAGCTAATTCTACAAGTAACATCTTAAATAGACTTCTGGTTAGTTATGATCCCAGGATAAGACCAAATTTCAAAGGTTGGGTAATGTATAACAAAGTAGATTTATTTTAATTTGATTGATTTGCTATTCTAAATATTTGTGGCATCAATAATTTGCATGTTAATTATTTATTTCTGTAAATTAGCTAGACATTGGTAGGTGAGAATTGATTAACTATAAAACAGGATATAAACTAAATGTCAGATTATGTATTTTAAATATGTTAGAACATTGAATTTGCTGTAAACAAATTAACATAGCTGTCAATCACTATAAATTAATATACCATTATATACAAAAATTTATATGAATTGCAAGCTGCAATTATTACTTTTTTCATCTGCCCATCTAATATTTGGTCATACTATGTAATTAATATTTTTTTTATAATTTTTATGGCTTTTTTCTGAATTTTTCTTCATAAACTAGAACTGGATGTATATTCATTAAAGAATATAGAATTAGAATTACTTTTTACTTTCTGTGTATTTATAAATCTTTTATTTAAGAGTCAGAAACAAAAATAAAAGGATGAAAGATGAAAGAGAGAAAACAGAATAAAAATTCTTATGCATATGTTTTAGGAATTCCAGTGGATGTAGCAGTGAATATTTTCATTAACAGTTTTGGATCAATACAAGAAACAACTATGGTGAGACTGAGGTTTATTTATTTATTTGGAAAATCAATATCTTTCTTCATTAAACTTAGTAGTCTTGATGGGCAATAATGTTAGAAGAAAGAATATCAGAATAGTTAAAATTAAGGCAGTTAGAAATAAACACTCAGAATGACAGTTTAGAATCAAATGTCTTTATCAGCATTTTAAAAAGTTTGGATGAACATTATTCAGGGGCAAATGCTAAGGAAAAAACAGTCCTAAGAAAGGAATGATCTTCACCTTTGAAACTTCTATATTTACTATATCTGCATAACAGGTTAAAAAATTTCCTTTCTTTATTTGTTTATTTATTTATTTTTAATTTCTTCCCAAGGTTGACATAGAGTTATGGATTGATGTGTATAGCTATACTGAGTGGATGTGATAAATGTCTTTCTATCTGATGCTTCTAAGGCACCAGCTAACTCATTCCCACAGCAGTTAACTTAGTCTCTACCAAATTCATTTGATCAGTGATTCCCTATGTCATTAGAACAGAATCATGAGAACAGTGTTATTTAAACAAAGGGTTTTAAATTTTAATCACTAGTTGAATTTTTACCAAAATGTTTCTACGTTTCATTCCTGGTTTGTTTTTGTCAAGAGTAATGGTTCTAAAATGAAGGAAGTGAGATATTTAATGAATTTGCAATAATCAATGACATACATATCTTTCTGATGTCAAATCTTCTCTTGATTTTATTTTGAAATCTCCCTTGGAAAATTCCAGTATATCATCCTTGGTTAATCATTTATGTTTAGTTATCATTTCTCTTGCTTAATATGCTTCTCATCATAACAGCTACAAAAGTACACAATTTGGGTTTACTATATATCTATTCCATATTCTGAATATGGCATGTCTAACAAAATGATTTTTTAAATGTACATTATCATTAACATTAACCGTAAATAACCACGCCACCCAAACCTCAAAACATGTCCTTATACAGGTAACTTCAATATCTTCTATTTCTTATAACAGCCATTTTTTCATCCAAGCTAAAAAGCAGGCAACAAAGTATAATTTCAAATCAGATAAACCCAAGTTTGTTCTTTTTTTGGCATTATAACATCTTATACTTAGCTTATGGCTTTTTATCCTGCTGCAAAAGTTTAACATGTTAAATGGTTCATCAGTTGTCAAAACAGGTATTGTCTGGAACAAAAATAATATCTTAGGTAAAACATTATCCCAAAATGATAATTGTATATTTTTCCATCTTAACATATCTTTTAACTTCATTGCGTGTCTTAACATAATTATTTTGAAAAAGTATACAATTAATATTTGTCAAATTAACACCCAAATATTTTCCCTTTTCTTGAATCATGAAACCAGTTTTGTTCATCAATTTTGTTTGATCTTGTATTTTACTTTTTTGTCTCTTCAGTTTATTAATATTAAAGCCAGCTAAATGCTAATTCTTTTAATTTTCTCATTTAATGGATCTTCCAATAGCAACACTTTTTAAGTTTTTATACCCTTTATTCTTTCATCTTGTCTTATATCTCTATTCAAAATTTCAAGAAACAAAATAAACAAAAGAGTATCTCACATTATTAAATCTCCATTAACAATAATGTGTGGTTTCTGTGAGGTACAAATCAATTTACCCATTTTATAAATCCTCTTCAAAGTTAATATCTTCCAAAACTTTGAATAAAAAAGACCAATTGAAATTATCAATAGCTTTCTCCACATCTAAAAAAATTAACACACCTTGTTTTTTATTATGGTGTTCCAAGTATTCTATAATGTCTAATACTATTCTGACATTAGCTTTTAATTGTTTTTCTTAGATATAAAAGGCATATAGATATGATAAAAGCAAGTGTGATTTGCAAAGAGAAATGTATGAAAAGATGTACTTGGTCCAAGTCCTGGTATCCAGGACTCCAGAGACCCTGGCTTCCACTGCTGTTGATATATATATATATATATATATATATATATAGTCTGCCTATAATAAAACTGGCATCCATGATGTAATAGTGGATGAGACATTTTCCCTTGTTTGTATTACTGAAAACTGAGGGGCAGTTCCTCTCTTGGAGATGTGCCCCAAAAGCTTTATATATGGCATTATCCGTTGACCCAGGGCTGGAAGAATGCTATGGTAATTGTAATTAATATTTAAGAAACTCTAGTGGTTTTTAGAACTGTTTTGCAGATTTTCAGATGTGAAGTCTTGTTTGTGAAGTTGGGCTGCAGGGATCAGAAAAGAAAGTTGCTTGTGAACCAGTTTCCTTGCTTCATAGCCCTGTTTGGGGTATCATGGTCTGTTCTGACTAAGGAGGGGTTGCAAAAATACCTGCAGGCCCACCTTGAGTACTATTCTAGTAAACTGTCTGATAAAGTTGATCAAATTTGCTTGGAGGTCAAATTCAGCTGTAGAGATCCTTCATTATTGCCTGAGGAAGGGTCTGGCCCAGTTATCTAGTAAGAGTTCAAACCTGTCACCCAAGATAAAGTAGACAGAGTTCTTGGTGCAAAGAACTTTGCAGGACCACTTACATCCCATTGTTTCTTTGTGCCCTGTCATATTAAATAGAGACAGCATATTCCCAGGGCCTTATATCAAATTATGATCTCTTATTGGGGCCTTATATATGGCACCCCAGAGATCCAGATGACCCTTACCTTCTTAGCTTTTTACAAAGTGCTGCTGTTTTCCAACACATCTGAGCTAGGAAATTTGTCAAGCTCTGGTCATGATGTGGTTTTTCTGATTGGGATTTATTGTTTATCTCAGGCATCATAAGTCAGCATTTTTAGCTGTTGTTTTAATTCTTCTATGCTGCCTTGTGAGATGGTAGCCATATAAATTATTTAACAAAATAAATAATAGTATTGGTGTAAACTGGATTTAATATAGTTCATTTTTCTTTTTTTGAAATATAATCTTTATGAATTTTTTATGTAAGTAAAAGATAAACATGAAACATTAAGAAAAGATTTAAAAGTTAGAAAAAAACAAAAAGTGCAGAAAGTAATACAGGTAGAAAGAAAAAAGTGAAAAAAAAATTAAAGATATGACTTCCGATCTTCTTTATATCAGTTACAAGCAAACCTATCTCTCTTTGAAATTGTATTACAAGGTCAATTCTTTTTTCAATCAGCAAATCCGGAATTAATATCCCCCCCCCCATTTTTAGCAAAATGTTTGTAAAAGATTTCTAGTTTTTATAAAAGTGCTTATTGCTTTATCATATTTATTGATTTGCCATTTTACCATTCTTTCATCTTCACAACCACTTTCCCATTGTGGGTATTTCAGTATTTCTCCATCTTTGTGCATATAGTAATCTTGTCCCAAAAGTGCTTTTCATAAAGGCAACTGGACTTTCTTGGATTTTTTTTCTTTTTTCTTTGAAAATATTTTGCTTCTTATCTATGAAGCTTCTTTAGTGGATGAACTGGATGATTAAGAATCTCCATAGGCATATAATAATTTTGCTACAGTTACCATATAGAAACCAATCTTCCATATCCCTTCTAATTGGACATCCATAAATCCTAACAAAAGATGTTCTGGCTTCAATTTTATTATTTTTTTAAAAAATGTTGTATTATCATATGTAGAATAACAGAATAACAAAGTTGGAAAGGACCTTGGAGGTCTTCTAGTCCAGCCTTCTACTCAGACAGGAAACCCTATACCTGTGATGGCGAACCTATGGCACGGGTGCCAGAGGCGGCACTCAGAGCCCTCTCTGTGGGCACGTGCGCCATCACCCCAGTCCTAGGCCTTCAGCTGGGTTTTATAAAACCTTTTCACTTTAGGCCTCCGCTGCCATATGCCAAAAAAAAAAGGTTCAATCAATCAATTTCAACTTCTTGTGGGAAAAAAAAAGATCTCGCAAAGTTGGAATTGATTGGTTGAACTTTTTAGTCCCACCCAGACTGCCGTTACCACCGCAGCCACGCCCACCCAATGGGCCACACCCACCCAATGGGCCATGCCCACCCGGCACCCAATGATACATAAGTGGGTTTTGGGTTGCAGTTTGGGCACTCGTTCTCTAAAAGGTTTGCCATCACTGCCCTATACCATTTCAAACAAATGGTTGCCCAGTCTCTTCTTAAAAACTTCCAGTGTTGGAGCACCCAGAACCTCTGAAGGTAAGCTGATCCACTGATTAATTGTTCTAACAGGATTTAGAAATAAGAAAATTTCTCCTTAGTTCTAGGTTGGTTCTTTCCTCGATTACTTTCTATCCATTGCTTTTTGTTCTGCCTTCAGGTGCTTTGAAGAAGCACCTTTGACTCCCTCTTCTTTGTGACAGTCCCTTAGATATTTAATACTGTGTTTGCTTTTTCAATATCCCTACAATTTTTCACATTTCCAAAATTGCCTGTAAGTATCTTATATATCTTACATAATTTCTCTGGTATCATATACCAACAGTTCATCATTTTTTTAAAAAAATATTTTTTGCAACTTTTTTATTTTTATTAAAAAAAATAAAATACAAATTCTAAAAAAGGGAGAAAATAGAAAAAATTAAATAAACAGAAGTACATAAAAACTACATTAAAAAAGTCATAAACACACATATATATTATCTCTCCTAATTGAATACTGATAAATATAGTGCAACAATATTAGTTTACCCCCATTGCAAAGCAAGCCCAAGCTTTTTAAACTTCTAACTCTATTTGCAATTTATTTTTTGAAAATATGTATGTCTTTCAAAAAAAGTATATATTCTTTGAAAATACCATCTTTGTCTCTACAAACTTAAATTTATCCATCATTTCAAAACTATTTTTGGTAATTTCCTTTGTGTTATTTAATTCATTTTACAGAGGTTCTGTGTTTTTCTGGGCAAATTACTCCAGTCCAATCTCCTAAGAAACATAATTTTCATAGGATGATTCTATAAGTTTTTCTGTAAATCCCTCAAGAAATGTAGCTTAGTTATCCTTTGTTATCAACTGTAGCAGATCTCTTTTAACTGATTCAGTCAGTTATTGATGCTGTGACATTCTTCCCCAATTGTTCAAACATCCTTTGTAAAATCTCAGATACAATACCTTTTCCTGTTAATTCATCTGAAAATGATCCTCTTCTGTCTTCTGTTAATGTTTGCTCTTTTTTCTGGTAGTGGTCATTTTTCTTTGTTTAATTTATAATCCAGGAAATGGACACAAAAAGTAAAAGAGGATTCTTTGTGTATGATATTTTTTTAGTTCCTTTTGGCATACCATAACTTTTATAGTCATGTGGTCTGTTGCAGTTTCCATGTTCCCTTATTAATCCAATTTTCTTCTACAGCAAATTTAAACAATCTTCTTTCCAAAGAGGTAGGTTAATTATTAATCTATAAGTACTTTAAAATAAACAATGTTCCTATTTTAACTGTCATGATTTAAACTTTCTTAATCCAAATACTTGACAAGGTTTTGCTTGTACTTTAAAAAAAATCAATTTAATTATTTCCTTAGTTTTTATTTTAAATTTGCCCAGGGGTTGAAAATACACTCACCAGATGGCTTAAGGTGCTCTGTAAATTGGTTTCAATGTGCTATAGAAAATGGATTGTCCAAATACAGTGGCCTTTAAGCAGGCTCTACTGGAGGCTATGAGCTTGATTATTTCTTCTGCAGCTCCCAGCACTCTATCTGCAGAATTACCTGCAGGATCTTTCCTGCTGATTTTCTCACAAGGATCTGCTTGCTGAAGCACAAGTGTGTGATTTCATGATTTCTTGTCTGAAGATCCAGGGGCAAAGATCATCACTTGGCTTCTAGTCTTTGCCTCAGCATTATCCTCCCTACATGAAGATTTGTTAGTCCACCGTTTTTTCTGTCCAGATATCCCCGTATATTTCCTTTAACATTGTCTTACTTTACATCTTAGTTCCTTTGGCTTATATCTCTTCTTTTCTAAGCTTTGAATTATGCTGCAATATAGGAACAATATAATGGATATCTACTCTACAGTATAATGCAGACATGTCAAACACAAGGGCCGTGGGCTGGAACTGGCCCATGATTGGCCCATATTTGGCCTCGGGGCCACCCCAGAGACAGCAAGGTTCAAGTCCCCTCTGGCCTGACCCTGCCCAGCCCGGTGCCCCTGAGGCACAGGAGGTGATGAGCATGCGGGGGCTGACAGTGTCTGGCAGCAGGAGCTCCGCAGCCTGCTGTGACCACTGGGACGGCCCTCCAAGCAGCAGGCACTGCAGCAGCACTGACTGGCGAAGTCAGAGAGGGAGGCATGTGATGTGGACTACTGGATGCATCTATTCCATTCCATCTGTTTTTGCTTGCAATTGGAAAGCAGGTTGCCGCTTGTCATCTCCTCGGCCCCCTGGCGGATCTTGCTCTTGGCCTGCGCATGAAGTGTGTTCCCCTCATGCACCCGACGCACCTTGGCCCCACTGTGCATGAAGAAAACATGCTCCACACATAGGCCAAGGGCAAGACCCATGAGGGAGCCAAGGAGATGACCAGCGGCGACCTGCTCTCCAATTGCAAGCAAAAACAGACAGGATGGAGTAGGCACATCTGGCAGCCCACATCTTGTGCCCCCCCCCGATTCCACCTGCTGCCAGTGGTGACAGCAGGCTGCAGAGTTGCAGAATGCACCTGCTGAGAGTCCAGCAGGCTGTGGCTATTGATGGACAGTAGAGGCCAGTGGTGTCCAGCTGTAGCTACCCTGCCTCCTGCTTCACCTTGTCCCACGGTGGTGGCATCCCTGCCCTGCCCCCTGCCTTGCCTCGCCTCACCCTGCAGAAGAAGCCTTCTGCCACCATCCCACTCTCCAGAGACCAATCCCGCCTGGCCTCCACAGGCGCCCCCCTGACGCAAGCGATGTCCAGGTGGCCACACCCACCCAGTCAGCCATAACTACCCCACCACGCCCAGCCAGTCGGCCATGCCCCCCTGGCCCGCTGAGGGCAACCGCAATGCTGATGCGGCCCTCAATGAAATCAAGTTTAATACCCCTGGTATAATGGATACCTATTCTGTGTGTTAAATGATGTACTATAGGGACAGGAACAGTATAATGAATATTTACTTTATGTGTTAAATGACATTTATCTTTTATCCTAACCATGCTCATCTCTTTGTTTGGGCCTCTAATAAGATTTTCCACTGATCACCAGCAAATTATTCTTAAAATTCAAACATGGCTTTAGAAATGTATTCACTATATTATTTCTTGCAAGCACTTAGGCAGTGAGGCTTGAGTCCAAGAGTGATGGTGCATAAAATTTAGCTATACAAATCTTTTCAGTGACTCACTGATTTAATGAAATAGACATGTATTATTGATCATTATTGTTTATTAAATTTGCTTGCTGTCCATTTCACCATGAGGCAAATCCATATATGGATTATGTAAATGGTTTCTTGATTTAAGCTTTGTGAGTTTTGCTAACATTTCTCTCAACTGAATATACCAAATATCTGTTTTAAGTGTTAACATATTAATTCAATAAATGTAACAGTTAATATGCTTAATATATTTCAAACAGGATTACCGAGTTAACATCTTCTTAAGACAGAAATGGAATGATCCTCGGCTTAAGTTGCCCACTGATTGGAAAGGATCTGAATCACTAACAGTGGACCCTACCATGTTTAAATGTCTGTGGAAGCCTGATCTGTTCTTTGCAAATGAAAAGAATGCTAACTTCCATGATGTCACTCAAGAAAATATTCTCCTATTTATATTCCGTGATGGAGATGTCCTAGTCAGCATGAGGTATTTTATATATTCTACTGATTATGAATAATTTTAAGAAAACTCCATAGCTATAGACTTTTTGTTTTAAATAATATTATCATAAGTAAACAAGGTTTTATAAACCAGAAAATTGGACTGCTTTAATAAACTCAAGTTAGAGTGCTTGCTCAAATAGTGATTATTCAAAAAGGCTGAATAATCATCATGCCTCTTGCAAGCCACAAAATCAAAATAAAATGCAATATAATCGCTAGCTTAAGCGCTTGTATGTTTAATACACGTACATAGTGTGACTATTTCTTATTTCCTATTTTCTGTTATTTATTTATGTATTTAACAGAACAAAGTAAGGAAAAAATCAAAAATGCAAAAAAGAGGTGCAAATGTGAATATTAAATATAAGACTTCTTGTGCTGATATATAGTACACGTATTTAAATTTGAACATTTGTCTTTCTAACTTATGGCACATTTGAATTGCTTCCAAATTTCACTTTATATTTCCAGATTATCTGTTACTCTCTCATGCCCATTGGATTTAACTTTGTTTCCTATGGATACACAGCGTTGCAAAATGCAATTGGAGAGCTGTATGTAAATTACATTTTACATATTTTACGTCTGTCTGTCTGTCTGTCTGTCTGTCTGTCTGTCTGTCTGTCTATCTATCTATCTATCTATCTATCTATCTATCTATCTATCTATCTATCTCTTATGCTTAATAATTGAATATGCATGTTCAGTACAATGATAGAGCTTCAGATCTTCCAAAAGTGCACTCTTCTCTTATAATTGACTCGACTCTGCCTTGGTGCCTCTTCTCTTTCCTTCGACCGTTCTCATAATTATGGAATTCTCTAGAGAATAAATATTTGTACAATATATCTGAAATATAATAACTTATGCCTTGAATGAGAATTCTGGGTTGATTCATTTGATCATCCCTTTGTTTCCTTGGCTAGCCATGTATTCTCAGGACTACACGAAATTATCAAATGCTGTTTCTATCTTGCTTCTTCAAAGCCCAATCTTCAATTTCAAAATGTGTCACAGGGAAACCATTACCTGTGGCACATCATAGCATTTGAAGTTTTCATGGTTATATATCAAATACTAGTTTGTGGCATATTCCTTAACTGTTGGTTACTTCAATGTTGACAGCACAATGACATTATCATTTTTTTCTAAGCACGTTCCAAAGCTTGACATGATGAATATAATTAAATGCATTTCTATAATCAATGAAAACGTACCCGCTTCCCTTTGGTATTCGTTGTATGTCACACCATATATGTGCATTAGCAGTAATGTTTCATATTCCTTGGCCTTTTCTAAGCTTGAACAAATGGCATCTCCTTTTCCATGATCCAAAGCATTATTTGTTAGCATGTTATATTAAGAATATTGTGCAATAATTTGCACAGTCTGTTCTTTGATATTAGTAGATTAATCTTTACCATTATGTTGTCCACTATGACATTCTCCAGATTCAATGGCATAGCTTGGTTAGAGCCTTTACTGATTCTTTTTCTGTTGCTTTCCATATTTCTGTACGGGCAACATTTGACCTACAACCATTCTTTCAGGGACTGAAGTTACAGTGGTGCTGAACGAATGGTAGTTACATTTGGTTCTTTCAAGACCTCCACAGTCATGTGATTGCAGTCTGTGCACTTGGCAAATGATTAACATTTACAGTGTTGCAATGCCTGTGATCATGTGATCATAATTTGCAACCTTCCTTACTGGCTTCTCCAGAAAGGCAATGGGAAAGCCAGCAGGGAAGATCAAAAGTTGCCGCGGTAAGTCTCTTCCACCCTCTGTCCCATCCATGCAATCTTACCTAGTCCCTATGCATTCACACATGCCAGGCATTCACATATCCCATACGTTTTTCCCAACCAGCATCCTAGTGGACTCTCCCTATAGTAGAAAAGCTACTAATCTTAACTTGGGAAGAATAGATGGGCAGCCATAATTCTAATTTATACAAGACACAAATGCAATTATATTTTAATGAGGATGGGATCTGATGGGCAATGATGCTGGCAGGGAAACCTGTAAGAAAAAATACTATTTGTGGCACCACACCAACCCATGTGAATTCCAGTCCTAGTTGTGACAAAAACTTTCAAAGTTAATATGCCATAGTGGAAAAAGTGTTTCCAATAAAGAAATAACATCTAAAGGAAAGTTCAAAAACACTTTTAAAATTAGAAATGTATTACTTTGGCATGTGGACCAAAAACCTACACTGCTTCAGATGATCTACTTCCAGGTTCTTCAAGTTAACACTCAGTGTATGTGGAAACAGTGAAAATCTGTAAATGCATTTCAGTACTAATGAGATATGATCAGTATAATAAACACTCTTTAATAATTAATCTGCCAGATTCTTAGACATGGTGGAAGAAAAGCATGCTTGTTTGTAATTATTGCATTTTATTACTTTTTATCACATTAACATCATCATCTTTTTTTTCTGTCCAAAACATGTAGTTGGTTACACTACTGATGATTTACGATTTATCTGGCAATCTGGTGATCCTGTTCAACTGGAGAAAATTGCTTTGCCCCAGTTTGATATTAAAAAAGAAGATATTGAATATGGCAACTGTACCAAATACTACAAAGGGACTGGTATATATTTTAATCAATTTATTTGTCCATTCATTACATTAAATGATGATTTATTCATTTATCCTAACATGAAAGGAAGTAAGAGGTTATTAAGTGAATGAACTGATTTTATCTTGTTGCTTCTGCAGTAAAGCTTGATTCAGAAAATCTGATTTGCAATAACTATTTTAAATAAAAAATTGTTACACGGTTACAGATAATGCTTTGTTGTGTTCTTTACTAATACTATTCCAGATTCATGAGACATATAAATTGCCTTCCTAGTCAATATGGACAGATATGTTTGTAATAGAAATGTTCTGATTCACATGATTCATTAATCACTATAATTCAGTTAACAGCTTTAGCCTCTCTAGGGCAGAGCAGCAAAATGAAGAATTGATTAAATTGTAAATTTGTAATAGGAAAATATTTTTGGCCATACAGATTTATAAGAGCACATAATGGAAGTAAAATCAGTTCTTTCTAAACATAAAAGATAGATGTTTTATTCATCAATCTTATATTTTTTAATATATTTTATTAATTTTTTACAATAATAATCTTTAGTGCTTGGTAAACAACATATTGTCTGGGTTCATATATTTAACAACAATCAATAATAGTTAATTTCTATGATTCCATAATCAACATACTACCTAAGGATACATTTCCTTGATCTTCTCTTCTTGCAATAATATTTTCCTTTTGCCAACATTGAGTAGGTACAATTCTTAGTATTTTTGATACATACAAAGTTAAATGAAAACATTTTCCTAATGTTTATACAATCAACATCAGTATATAGCTATCACGCCTGTCCGTCGTCGTCCAGAATAACAGAAGCCAGAAACACAGGTACGAGGTGCAAGTAAGGTTTATTCCTTAGCATACATAAAGTCAGCACTGGGAGTGGATTGCTCCCAGTGCTTCACATAACTGTGCCACGCCTCAAAACCCCACCCTCAATTGCTAACCACCATCCGCCCAACAGTCATAAAGGTTCCTTCTGTTCAGTCACGCCTTTCCCCTGGATCGGCCCCGCCCTGCTGACCCTCTGTCCGGCCGCCCAGGTTAGGGCCTTCTGTTGGCACCACGTTGTTCCTGCCTCCAGCATCCTCCAGGCCTCCATGGTCCTGGCCGGCCGTCAACAGCCTTCCCCCGGAGGCCTTCCGCGGCTCTCCACAATGAGCAGCAGCTGGCCCCGCCTCTCGGCTGCTCTGTTCACGGCCGCGGGCTCTGGCAGTCTCCTGCCGCTTCTGGCAGCCAATGGTAGCATTCCTTGAGGCTCGGCAGCGACTGGCGGCCCCCCCCACTCCTCGGCTCCGTCGGTGGCTGTGGGACCCTCCGGCCAGGCTTCTCCACCTGGGAACGGTAGGCCGCTGAGGTGGGAACGGAGGGGGGGAAGGGTCGTACCTGGCGTCCTATGGGCCCGTTTCGGCGTCTGGGTGGCGTCTGGCAGCTGCAGGCTGTGTCCTGAGTCACCCCCCACCGCTGAATGGCAAGCCCCGTGGGGCTTGACAATAGCATCTTTTCTAATCAGCTTATGTTTCATTTATATTTGTGAAGAGTTATTTTATTAAATCACTATAGGTCCTGTTTTTGAAGTTCTTATTTAAGCTTAATTTCCCCTCAATATTCAAAAGATTCTTGTCAATTATAATTTTCTCAAAATTAATTATATTTAAATGTCCAGACATTTCATTCACAAAAGCCATCCCAGTATTTTTATATTTCTCATTTCATAAAAGAAAAAAAAAAGCTACACTACTTATAAATCACATCCCTCTTACTATCGGACCCATTTATATCCAAAATTTATTTTTTTAGCCATATTCAAACAAGTGTTTAGTCATGTTTAGTCCATCTGGTAAGTCAAGTCATCTGATCTCTTGAATCTAATATAGCCTTCTTCTTTTGCCAAAAAGTTTCCGAGTCAATGTGTTCAGCTTACCAGGGAATTCTTCCTGTATTTTTATAAATGTTGTTAGAAATGGGGAAGACAGATTAGGTGGAGTACCTTTGAGGGGGAGTTTCACCCATTTATATTCGTTAAAGAGCTTCCACTTTCCTTCTCCCTCAATTTCTCTCTTCATTTTTTGTCTCCCAAACTCTACTGCTCCCCTGGCATCTCTATAATCCATTTTGTCAGATCTTCTTTCTTGTCCTCTGGTTTATTTTGAAGTTTTGAAAGATAAGATACTTTTTCTTTTCCAATATTATAGCAGAATCTTTCAGATTTTTCTTTACCTGTGTTAAGCTGTAATTCCTTTCATTTGTAGCCTCCATCTTTGGGTCACTTTCCTCTGTTTTGTATTCTATTGTCTGATTTATTTGTTCATTCTTTATCATTATTTTCTGAGAGTTTTTTAGTTGTGAGTTTCGTTAAAGATGTGCTCATTTATATCATCTAAATTATTTTTAATCTCATCATGATTTGAAACAATTGTCATTTGAATTAGTTGCAACATAGCATGCATTTCATCCTGGAAGATATTTGCCTTGTTTTGAAGTATTACTCCTGCAGATCTCTGATGTTCCAGGCTGGGAGTTTCAGAAAAGAATCTTGGGTGTGGTTTCTTACCACTTACTGTAAGTATGCAACATCCATTTTATCTTCCCCCTCCAAATAATCTTTCACAGGTACCATAATTCCTGTATATTAGTCTTCTCCAACCAACCAGTCTTAAGGTCCAAACAACAAAGTCTTGTATAATTCTTATCTTTATGTATGGTCTTTATAGTCCAATGCATTTCCAAATATCAATCCACCACTAAAAGCAATATTTTATAATGGTTCTTCTGCTCAGGAGTCCTAAAATTAGCAATCAACCAACATTTTCAATCCAAAATGTTCAACCACCTAAGAGTAATTCAGGAGCTTCCCCCCTAAAAAAAGTAGCCAAAATTCAAGTTTTTTCTTTCTCAGCAAACAATTCTTGAGCCTAAAGATCACAGCTCAGTAAGTGTTTATAATCCAAGAATTTTTATAGTTCTTAGTCTGTAGTAAATAGCCCAATGTATTCTCTCTCCTCTGTTCCTAGCTGTTTTCTGTTTAGCTTAGAGTCTCTGAGGTTCAAAGGGACAGATTGTTATCTGTTTCTGGACATCTTGCCAGTTTCTGAGTCAAAACAGCTCTAATTTTATACTGTAATCCACCACTAGATGTCAGTAGATATTCATTTTCCAACTTTTAAGACAGAAAATTATTTTCTTGTAATTTCATCAATACTCTTTCAAAGGGAGGATCTTAACAATTTCCACAATTTTCAGGTTTATCCAGACTATAGCTTTATATTAAATTCCATTTCAATATATTTCTGTTCCTCATAAAAAATTAGAGCTGATTCCGTCTATGCTCTATGGGAAGATTTTTGCTTCTTGGGGAACTTTTCAAGGAAATCAATTGCAAGATAGAAGAAAAAAGATCAATATTTTCACCCAGTTTCCAACACGCTGTTCAAAGTCTATTCTAGTTGGTGTTTTTGGACTTCGGCTGCCGATAGTTTGGGCTAGTCACCAAGGTGTAGCTAGCTTTTCCTCTGTCGGTTTGGAGGGCTCCCCCAATCAAACAGATTGACCCCCATCTTTCCATGATCAAGGGAAAATATCTACCATGCTTTGTAGATGCAAAAATAGCAAAAACAGCTCATCCCTCCCCTGTTTCCAGCCAACTAGAGTTCACCAAGATGTTTTGGGAACTCTGAGATGTTTGGTGGTAATCCACATATTTCTCAGGGTGCCTGGCCATGAGATGCTGGTACAATCAGGATCTCACTGCTCTGGTTCTTATCACCTGCCATTCCCCCCTCCCTGTTTCCTATCACATACACACAAAAATTTATTGCCCTTTCATCCTTCTCCCCTTCTTCTTTTGATGGTCTTTGTAAGGCCCCAGGGATTGCTGACACCTTACCATATCTCTGCCTTCCATAACTACCCACCATTTTGTATCTTTTTTATTTCAGACAACTATTGGAGTTAATAGTGGGAAGACATGCACACACATGCACAATACATAAACACACCTATTGCATAAGGGTCATCTACTGCAATTATTTGTAGTGGGTTGAGAAAAAAACTAGTTATATATTTTATATTGGTATTTTTTTTCAGAAAACATATTTTAAGAAATATTGGCTCAACTATAGCAATGCTATGTTTATTTCCTCCTGTTTGTTTTTGATTGTTGTTGGAGAATCGAAAAAATTCATTCACTCACTCCTTGCTGCCATCATCCTTTCTCTTTTAATTTTACTTTTATAGTAGTACAAGCATTCTTTTTTTTTCTTCTTAGAAAATTTACTAGCTGGCAAGCCTTTTGTTGCTGTGCATAATGCAAAACATTGTATTGGCAGTGCCCTCATTCCTGTCAAAGTATTTTTCTAGCCAATTAGGCATCAACTTTTTACTTTAGAACTAAAGCATCCACTGGCATATCAGAAGAGTAAATTGAATGACTTTATGTTGCTCTTACTTGCAGTATAGTCCCAAAATGGTGCCTAATGAATTGAGGTCACATTGTTATTCACACTTTCAATTAAATGTTATTTAGCTGCAGCTTGGGCTGCCAGTACTTCTTTTTCGAAAAATAGGCTTAATTAGGATAGGCTCAGAATTGGTTAAAGCTTCAAGTAAATTAAAATAAAAAGTTAGTTAAAGTGACATGCATCAATAAACCCAGGTGACATAGTGGAACTTACTAAAGCATTTAGAACTTTGTGTTGTTATTTTCTCCAAAGGCTATTACACATGTGTAGAAGTGATCTTCACTCTGAGAAGACAAGTTGGCTTTTACATGATGGGTGTCTATGCTCCTACACTGCTAATTGTTGTGCTTTCATGGTTATCATTCTGGATAAATCCTGATGCAAGTGCTGCAAGAGTACCATTGGGTAATCTATGTTTCTGATATTGTCAGCACCACTTAATGTTACATATCCATTTGCAGTTGGCTCAGTAACAAGACATATCATGGATACTGAAAGCAACTGTGTTCTCATAGCATGTTCTTCACTGTCATCCCAATCTTCTCTTTTTCAGTTCCATATTTGTTGCCTCCACTTTTTAAAAGACAAGAACTCTAGCCTTTAAGCAAATTGTTCCTGTATCTACTCATTATATCACCAGGGACGTATATGAGTACAACAGTGAGTAGAAAACTGAAAGGGGTGTAAGTTTTGTCTGGGAATGGAATAATGGTTATTGATATCTAAAGAACCAGAAAAATAGGTTGTTTCTACAAGATATGGTTCTATAAAATTATGGGCTTTCAAAATGCTATAATGTTAACTACTGAATAGAATGATGTACAAATAGAATATTTCATGAATCTCACAGAGAACTTTTCCTCATTTTTATTTTCTCTAATTATGTGTTAGAAAACAGACCTAACCCTAGCTAAAGGTGATCTTGGAAAAAGCAAGTTGTCTTTTGAGTTCTTCCAAACAACAAATTCTACTTATCAGATAGCTGGAGATAAATAATAGCACTGCTGACTTACTGGGACAGAAGGCAAAATGCAGGAGAAATTCTTCTCAGCTCTCATTTTATTTCATGAGAGTGAGCAAATATTTATACAAGACCAGTATCCTTAATGGATTATGTTATGACTTTAAATCACTGGCAGCTACCTTATAATATGGCTGGCAATGGTGCTTAATATAAAATCTAGGTAGTAGATTTCTCATGACAGCTATGAACCTTCCTGTAACAATGTAAGATAAATGGCCCTCCCAAAAAAAACCTCACAGAATGGATCTTCTGCTGAAAATAGGCTTTAACATTTCTTGATCAGTTTGTAGAGTCTTGAAACAGTATTCCAAAGAAATAAGTTTTAGTAGGTTTAATTTTCATATATGAGAAACAGAACTAATCTTATTTTTACATTGAACCTCTTTTCAGTCTATTTTCAATTTAGCTAATTCTTCCTTCAGAAAGAAAATAAAATCCAGTCTGATCATAGATGTTTTGGATTTTTTTGATAGTACTAAATTTTGATTTCAGAGCAAAGCTGCCACTATTTCAACTATTTAGGAGATTAGATAGATAGGCAGGCAGGCAGGCAGGCAGACAGACAGACAGACAGACAGATAGACAGACAGATAGATTCAGGGCTTTTTTTCTCATAGAACACCCAGAAAGGAGTTCCGGCACCTTTTTGGGATGGAAACTTGTAGGGTAGGCAAGGTGGGTTGTATGACGTGTGAGTTCCGGCACCTTTTTTTTTTTTTTTTTTTTTAGAAAAAAAGCACTGGATAGATAGATAGATAGATAGATAGATAGATAGATAGATAGATAGATAGATAGATAGGATGGTAGTAGAAAGTTAGATCTCATTTGAAATATATTGTGTGATCTGATTCTTTCCGTCATTGTGAGATTGATATTTTCACTCTAAATTGTAGATAAATAGAAACCAGTTGCATTCTCATGTTCTTCGGGTATGTTGGACTGCTGTTTGCAGAAATGCTAGCTAGTATGTCCCAAGAAATGATGCTACTAGAACAGGGAAGGATACAATAGTATGCAGATTTTAAAAACATAATATTATTAGCACTTTATTGTGAAAGAGCGGCATTTCTTCAACAGAATACATAATTTCAAAGATAATGATCTATTTAAATAAACTTTTTAGATTTTTCTATGATGTACAAAATCAGTAGTCCAAACTGATTGCTTCATTGCCTGCAGGCAAATCCGTATGCCTGTCTGACACTCAGTTGCCAAGTTACTCCATATTTTTATGATATCTAGCATTCCATTTGATTGATAGTCTGCAAATTTATGGTAAGAAAAGATTATATCAGCAAAATAATATGTATCATGATAAATAGAGTTGCTAGTAACCGAGAGAAACCCTTTCCAGCTGTTAGTGCTATATATGTACTCAGAATGATTATGTATCAATTTATTTACCGTATATGCCGGCGTACTAGGTGACCCGGCGTATAAGACGACCCCCGTCTTTCTCGCCGAGCTGCATTCCTAGAACGTCGTCTTAAACTACCAGTATTTCCGGCGTATAAGACGACTCGGCGTATAAGACGACCCCCGTCTTTGGCACCGAGTTTAGCGCTTGCGGAAGTCGTCTTATACACCAGCATATACGGTAATCAGTTCCATAACTCACCCTATACATTCATATTCATCTCCGTGACACATGTGGTACATCAACAACTTCTATTTCCTTTGAGGAAATATTATCATTTAGAAAGTGCTGTAAAATGTTTTAAGGTTAGCAAAGTGGAAAATGGTTAGCAGTGCAACAACATTGCAATTACATAGTATATTGTTGGATTTTTATTTCTCTTAGGCATTTTTTCAGTGCTCAACTTGGCATCAGAATGTACTACCCTTGCTGCTGAACTCCCCAAAGTGTCTTACGTGAAGGCCTTAGATGTATGGCTGATTGCATGCCTTCTATTTGGATTTGCTTCATTGGTTGAGTATGCAGTGGTCCAAGTCATGCTGAACAATCCAAAACGAATTGAAGCTGAAAAAGCAAGGATTGCTAAGGCAGAGCAAGCAGAAGGGAAAGGTGGAAATGTTGCCAAAAAGAATACTGTGAATGGCACAGGTACCCCAGTGCACATCAGTACTTTACAGGTAAGAGTACTACCTAACATACTTGATATGTTATTAAATCATCCAGCTTCAGTTCCTGATCCTGTAATGGTTGATGTCAAATAGGTGCTAGCCTGAAGATTTTATCTAACCAGCATTCCTACCCTTTGAGATCAGCTATACCTTGATCACTAATGGATCTGCTAGCTGAGGGTGATATAATTTACAGTAATCCAGTATGTAAGTAGAGGCACTTGGCTAAATAAAATTACCTTGAAATAAAACCAGATTTTATGAGTCCCTATAATTGTGGTTGTCAACAATGTGTCTTTTTAAATTTGTTATTAATTAAAGGATGGGGAAGTTATGATATTCAGAATAATCATGTATTTCAGAAATGGAAATTATGTACCTTCATTAATAGAATGCATTGTTTTGTTTTATTTTATTATTTTTATTCTGCATTTATTATTTTTACAAACATCCCAAAATGGTGAACATATATGTTTTCCTCACAATAACAACAACCCTGTGAAGTGGATTGGGCTAAGAGAGACTGCTCCATGGTCATCCAACTGGCTAGTAAATTATTAGTAAATTAAATTATACACTATTGTTATGTAAAATTAGATGTAATATTAAGAAAATATTTAGGTACAAAAATTACAATTGCTTAGTTTTGGCTGACAATCAGGAAAATATATATTTTAGATATCGTTAGAATTTTTAGAAAAATAACCTGTTCCATGCATAGAAAAATATGGAAAAAGATTTAATTATCTATCACTCTCTAGTGATATTTAATGGGATCATCAGAATCCATGATATATTATATTTCTCCAACAAAACATATATGTAAGATGCTTTTCTGAATTGAACTGATAGATCCATATTTAATGTTGCATTATAATTTAAAAATATAAATATACTTTACTTCTGAAATACAGAAAATTGTCTTTGTTAACATTTTTCCATTGTCTGGATTTTTGTAGTTCAAATGGAGTTTCCTAACATATAAAAAGTATGAGGTTTCTGTATGTACTGTAAGTGTCCATATGATCAAGTTATTTCCCTTTGAAACTGAAGCTTGAAATTATTCCCATTTTTCAGGTCAACTGAATCTGTTTCTATTCTCACCTTATTGGATAAGAAATTTATGTTTATCAGAAAGCAAACAGTTATTTTTTCCTGCAAACAATGCCTGAATAGAGTTGAATCTGCATTTCTCTGGCTGAATCTACATTGTTTAATTATATTCTCTATAAAACCTTTATTATTAGTGCCTCTCTTGATATCCCTCTTATAGCTAACTATTAGAACTATCCTTAAAGGAACTTTTAAGGAAAGAATCAAAAGAGCAATCTGTTTGCAAAGAAGTTCAGTCCATCTGCAAGAAGGTTATAATTCTTTAACACTGACGAATGTTGATTCATAAAGATATACTGCCCTTCAGTCTGGAGGATCTTTCTGTACGGAGTTCAATTGTGCTCTTATTTAAACTTTGAATACTTCTCCTCCAAGAATTTAAAATATTTTTTTAAAAGCTTTCCAGATAAATGGTTGTCACAAATTTTTATAAGCATCTTCTAGAGCAGTCTTCTTCAGTGTAGGCTGAAGGCTTATATCAGCCTCTCCTAATATGGCTAGAAGGCCTGGTAGGAGTTATAATAAATTACTGCCACTGTTTAAATGTTTAAACAGGCATAGTAGTCCTCGACTTATAATCATAATGACTATTTGAAGTTACAATAATGCTGAAAAAAGTGAGTTATGACCGTTTTTCACACTTCCAACAATTGCAGCATCCCCGTGGTCACATGATTAAAATTCAGATGCTTGGCACTTGGCGTGTGTTTATGACAGTTGCATAGTTTAGCCTTTCTTTAGCCTCAGAAAGTTCCCTTGTTGTTATAGGTTATTCGTAATCTTTTCTGTTCTTCTGTAATACTTGTAAATTTTATTTATTGAGATACCAATCTGTTTTCTCTAAAAGGATGTCACTTCCTTTACACAAGTTAGAATAATATCAATAAAATGCTTTTTGTATGGTCCAGTAATACAGTATCTTTCTCTTGTAAATTTCAATATTTTCTTTTTTATTTTTGTAATCTATTTGTTAGCCATTTCCCTGAATTATTTGCAAACTCAAAATATTTTTGCTTTATATAATTCATTATTGATTTAATTTTCTCCTGTCTGTATCTCTGAGGTATAGTATTTCAAAGAATGGAGCCACTATGCAGAAGAGCTCTGGCTAGCCTATCCCCATACATGTACGGTATCTAATATTCCATCTTTGATTTTTTTTTTAACATACCGAGTTTCCATTTTTACTGAGCTCCTCATGAATTCAAGATTTACTTTCAGGTTAGCTATAGCTAGTAAAGCTTTTTATATTTATTAAAATGAGATAATATAAATAAATTAATGTCAGGAACACTATCCCCCTATACTAAATTCTAATTTAGATTCCCCCCCCCTCCCCTAAAATTAGATATTGGAGATGGATTTGGAAGTGATAAATAAAAGACAGAATGAGATAATGGTGGATAAAATGTGATGGTGGACTAGAATAATGAAATGTATGGTAAGGAATGAAATGAAAATCTTTCTAATGGGTCTCATCTCTCACAGTATAAAGAAAGACCTGAATTTCTTGTAACTGTAAGGACCCACCCCACTTTGCATCTTAAGAAGACAGAACTCTTGGAATAATTCTTCCAACAGGAATCCTTTATTAAGAGAAAATGGTTGCAGGCGTTCTAGACAGGACTTGGGGTTCAAGCTCTCCCATTCAAGGTTTTAAGGGGTTCCCCAGTAGTCCCACCCAATTTCCCCCCTCTTCCAGTGACAGTTTCAGGCATCACAATCCCACCCCTTTTTTCCTTTCTGCCGGCTGGATGGAGACTTCAGATAAACTACATGAAAGGTAATTAGCCTCCTTTGTTATGATGAGGCCTTTTGGTGCTATCCACATTCAAACCCTTTGAAGTTGTACCGAAGGAAGTGAGGGCCATAAAGCCCCTTTGTTCACCCCCCTCTCTTTCTTTATGACAGAATCCAGAGAGGGCAGAAATGGGATTTTCTATAATTGATAACTGGAGATGAAGTATAATTGGATTCTGACAGTAACACTACATATATTAACTAGGTCATTAATGTAAAATGTCTGTATTACATGTAACTATTGCTGTGTAAATGTTAGCATTTATAAGTAACTCAGTCTCTCACATTTCCTTTCAGTATTTATTGTTTGTCTTGTCTCTGATAACTCTGTGTCTGTGTTTCTATGCATGTATATAAGTAATACTTTTTTTAGAACAAAATATATATCAGTTGATGTGGAGTATTGTCTATGAACATTTAGGCAATATTAACATTTCTGTTCTGGCTGCTTTCTATTAATCTGTATTACCACTAATTTGGTTTATGCAGTGTTACTATAGTAATGCATACAAATAAGTGAGAGATATCTTCTAAGACTCAGGACTCATTTGAAGAACAGGTGGCAGTTTTGATTAGGAGACCCTCTGCATAATTCTATCTTACGTGCCATTTATAGCCATTGCTAGAACAAGAAGACTCATTTACAATCACTCAAGCATTGCTCAGTCCCAGGTGGCCAAAATGTTGGGGGCCGCTATTCTAGAATGTAGCAGTTCAAGTAGTTCCCATTTTGCCTGAGAAACACCACTACTGCAAGAGCCACACTGGTTACCAGTTGACTTCAAGATGATAGTTGTCATGTTTAAAGTCCGACACAGTTCAAGAACTGGTTATCTACAGGATCATATTCTGCCAATGGTTTCTGCCAATATAATAAGATCGAGCAAGGAAAAGATCATTCAAGTCACATTCTTCTGGTATTTCCTCAAGACAACAAGAGGTGTGGTGTTCTTCTTTCTTGGAGTAGTGTTCCACTTGAGCACTGACATTCGGGAAAGTTGCCATGACCTACCTGCTCCAGAAAGCCTTTGGAGATTAAGAATATAGCATTTCCCTTTCCTAAGTACAGTAAGTGATAGTTGATCTTGGATTTGTGGGTTATTTATTGTTTTTTTTTCTCTTTCTTTTAATGTTCTCTATTCTATATTACTGGAAGCTGATCAGAGCCTTATTTGGGAAGGGGAGAACTGTGTTGCATATAAATTGGAAAGCAAATATATTTTGAAGAGCTGTGGTAGCGCAGTGGTTAGAATGCAGTATTGCAGGTTCACTGCTAGGAATTTGATTCTAACTGGTTCAAGATTGATTCAGTCCTCCATCCTTCTGAGTTTGGTGAAATGAGGACCTATATTGTTGGGAGCAATATGCTGACTCTGTAAACTACCTAGAGAGGGCAATAAAGCACTGTGAAGCAGTATATAATTGCTATTGCTATTGAATGACATTCCTTTCACATTTTGCTCCAATATTTGCATAGCTACTTATAGTTAGACACTGTAGTGTTGCAAATAAAATTGAGAATACTTAGTCTATATATATATTTTTCCCCAAAGATGCTTTTCAAGGAAAAAAGCAAGAAAATCCCATTGTCTTTTGAAAAGCACCTTTGGGAGAACCATGATTGAAAATCTCCATAGACATATCCTTTCTCTCTACATTAAAGTTCTGTTTAATGCAAGGACCCACTTCAATCCCATATCTTACGAAAGCAGAACTCTTGGAGATAGTTTCCTCCAACAGGAACTTTTATTAAAAATAGTTGATAGCAGGCATATTAGACAAGATCTGAGAGATTCCCTTGCAGATCAATACTTTAAAGTGTCCTCAAGCAAACCCCACCCCACAGTTCATCCAGACGGTACAAACCAGCCAATCCCCAGGTGTTAAGTGCATCGTGGGAAAGGGGAGATAAACAGCCCTTCACACCTCCTTTTTAGAACAGAGAAATAAGCCAGGCTCCGAAGGTTGTATTTCTCCCCCCCCCCTTTTCCTACCTGACAGATTAGGGAGAAGAAAATTCAGAGAGAGATACAGTGCAGGAAGCAAATTGTTACATTGCAGCGGGCAGCAGACACAGAATCAATAAACGAAGCAAA